CGTCGACGAGCGCGAGCGCGAGCGCGTCGTTTTCCGACGCGATCGTCAGAACGTTGCCCGACTGCAGCAGCGGCGCGACGGCCGCGGCGTCCGGCGGCGCGTGCAGGTCGTCCGGGAGCTCCGGCCGGGGCCGCGCGCCCGGCAGGTCCGCGGCGCGGAAGGCGATGGGCGCCGCGCCGCGGCTCGCGGCGGCGACGCCCTCGCCGTCGTGGTTCAGGAAGATCGTGACGGCGACGAAGGCCCGCGCGCGGGGGAAGTACTTGTCGTAGGTCGCGACCTCGTGGAGCTCGCGGCACAGCAGGCGCCGCTCGACGTCGACCGCGCGGCGCCGCTCGCGCGCGGCCCAGTCGTCGTCGGGCGCGGGCGCTCGGGCCGCGACGCGGCGGAGGCGGCCGGCGGTCTTGCTCGCCTTCGTGAGGAGCAGCGCCGCGTCGACGCCGTAGGTCGTGGCGAGGCGGTACCGCGGGCCCAGGCGCCGCGCCGACTGGTGGATCCGCAGGCGCGACCGGGGTTCGGTCTCGGTGGTCGATGCTCCGGCGCCCATGGGTGTTGTAATGGGGCTGCCGACGGGTGGCGCTGGCGCTTGCTTTTGATGCGGCCGGCGGGTGTGTCGCTGGCGCTTGCTGGAGTGCCGCTCGGGCTGCTTGGTTTGTGCGGGAAGGCTGCCCATTTCGCGGCGTGCTGTGCCCGAGGCGCTCGAAAGCAATGGGTTGTCGAAGTCGTCAAGATGCCGGCCGCTTCGACGTTTGGGCGAGCTGCTGTGATCAGCAAGCCAGCTTGTCGACGTCCGCCGTGCGCAACTTCGCCGCGCCTCGACTACCATGCGGTCGTTCGGCCTCGCCCTCCTCCCTGCGGTGGTCGTGCCGTTCGGCGGGGTGCCGCCGGGCGTGTCGCCGCACCGACGAACGGTCGCGCTGCGCGAATCCTACGACGTTACGCTCGACCTGCCGGACGGCCAGTCCGTGACCTTCCCCTGCGCCGACGACGAGTTCATCCTCGACGCCGCCGAGGAGGCCGGCTTCGAGCTCCCCGCGTCGTGCCGCAGCGGCGCGCGCGCCGCGTCCACCGCCGCGCGCGCGCGCGCGGCCGCCGCTCCGCCGCCCGCCGATTCGGGTCCGCCGCCGACGCCGCCGCCGCCCGCAGGCGCGTGCACGGTCTGCCAGGGCCGCGTCACGAGCGGGACCGTCGAGCACGACGACCAGTCGACGCTCGACGACGAGCAGCTCGCCGCGGGCTACACCTGCGCGGCGCCGGCGCCGCCGCGGCTCCTTTTTCCGCGCGTTTTCACCGGTTCCGCGCAGGCACGTGCGTGGCGTACCCCGAGAGCGACGTGCGCATCGTGACGCACCAGATGGACAACTTCGAGGCCGGCGTCATGGCGCCCCTCGACGGCGCCGCGCCCGCGCCGGCCGCGGAGGCGCCCGCGCCGGCTCCCGCGCCCGCGCCCGCGCCCGCGCCCGCGCCGCTGGCGGCCGTCGCCGACGCGGCGCCGGCGTCGGCGGAGCTCTGGACCTACAAGATGAAGGTCGCCGAGAGCACGCTGGCCATGCTGAAGGAGGTCGTCGAGGGCCGACCAGACCTCGTGGCCAAGTGCGACGAAATGGAGGCGCTCCTCCACAGCTCGGACCACGGCGCCGGCGCCGCCGCGGCGCCCGCGGGCCAGCCCGCCGAGTACACGCCCTTCTACTCCAAGGACACGGGCTACACCATCTGGCTCAACAAAAACAACCCGCGGAACTCGTACTACGAGTACGACAAAAAAAAGTAGGCGGCGCCGACGCCGCCGCGCCTCGCACGCCCCCCCGCGCCGCGCGCCGCTGCGCCGCACCGACACCGAGGAACGCCGACGACCGGCCTTCCCCACCCGCTGACCCGCGCGGCGCCACATACCGGCCCCGCCGCGCGAATTTAGATCATACCTGTACTCGAACCTTCTTCCAGTCTTGTGTTTGTGCGAAGAGAACACTACACATACTACTCGGGGAGATTCGGGATTGAAAAAACACCGCTCACGCCTCGCGCCGCGCCGCGTCGACGACGTCGCGCGCGTCGGGCGCGAGGAGCGCCAAGAACGCGATTCCCACGCAGCGGGCCATCTCGAGCATCTCCGCCGCGTCCGACGTCGCGGCGCGGTCGTAGGGCTTCACGAGGACGCCGTTGCGCCCGCGCTGCGGGCGAAAGTTCTTCGCGCGGTCGTCGAAAAGCAGCGACCGGTCCGCGCGGCCGACGACGAGCGACAGGTCCTTGCCCCGCTTCACGCAGGACGGGACGCCGTCGCGCGTCGTCACGGTCGCGAACGCGGAACCGTCGAGCTCGCGCATGATGTTCGCGGTGTAGGTATCCTGCGCGGCCGTGAACACGTGCTGCGTCGCGAAGAGGCCGCAGGCCGCGAGCGCGGCCCGCGCGCCGGGCCGCCAGAACGTCCGCGTGTTCGGGGCGCTTCCCTCGTAGGGAAAGTCGTCGTCGATCTGGTCGAAGTAGCTGCCGCGCGCGTCGCCGGCGGGGATCGGGCTCACGGAGCACAGCAGCGTGTGGTCCAGGTCCCAGAAGATGTGCAGTGGATCGGTCTGGCGCTTGTACGCCGCCGCAGCGACGACGGAGCCGCACGAGGCGGCCGCGGCGCGGCGCAGCGCCATAGTTGCGAGGCAGCGGCGGCTAGATGGCCTCGACCTCGAGCGAGGCAGCGGTGGCTAGATGGCCATGGCCATCGAGGTTCGAGCTTTGTTTGAAGTGTTACTTGACTTGAGCGCTCCGAGTCGTCGCCGCGCCGGCGCGCGCGCG